GAGCAGGAAGAGTGGGCTTTGGAAACTATACATCTGTGTGAAGACTCAGGACTGGCCATGAACAGCCCTGAGTCCCTAGCCCGGTTCGGCCACTGCCTGGTTGTGTGACACAAGGTCAGAGTGACTCTGATCTTCAGTGTCTTAATCTGCAAGGTCAAAAGTTTGGACAGGATTAAACCTCCATCTTGCAGGCTCCGTCCATATAGATTTTGGCTCTGCTTCATACTTGTGTTATTATTTGCTTATTAGACTTTGTGTTAAAAGAAAACTTCCTATCACTACTATCAATATCTTATGTTGGAGGTGACAACAACCAGGAGAATGGAAACCAAACAGTGTTAATAGAATTCTTGCCAAATCCTGCAACCTGCCCAGGCTCAGTGTCTGAGACACTTAGAGACTTCATGAAGAAGGGAAATTAGCACATGCTGGAGAGATGGTAACAACACAGTAGCACTCAAATGAGACATTCTGCACTCTCTCAGAAGGCCATGGGTGTTGAGAGCGCATGAGTGCATCAGTGTCCTTTAGTGCTGTGTGTGTGGGTAGCCCTTGGCCATTGGGGGTGCCCCTGGCACCCATTCCTCACTTTGGAAAACACTGGACTGGATCTGAGACCTGGAAGGGACCTTAAAGATCACTGTCCCACCTGTCATTTAGTAGATGAATGAGCTGAGCCGGTGTGGAAACGGCTGCCCACGCCCTTGACCCTGACAGTGAAAGATCCATGCCTGGGTCTGCTTGTGCCGTGGCAGGAAAAACCCCTGAAACGTGGAGAGCTCCAACAGTGTGACTGGGGACCTTTGCCCCAACCCCGACCAGACCACTTAGAAACTGCCTGCGTGGACGGTAGCCAGGACTTTTATACTAAGCTCAATTCTAATATCTGGGAGTGTTTTTTGGACTCATTCTCAGCAGGCCAGGCACTTTTTTTTTTTTTCTTTCTTTCTTTCTTTTCTTTTTTTTTTAAGAACAGGGTATGTCACTTACAATAGCCTCCAGTCCCTTCAGAACACTCAGGCTCCGCCAGAACACTTGGTTTGCGCTGTCTGATCCTCTTCCTTCATGTTGGTCAGAAGTAGTAACAAACGTGTAGTGAGAACAGCAAGTACCATTTCAGAGCCAAAAAGGAGTTTGGGGTGTGGATTATATACTTTGAAAACAAAACAAAACAACAGCTTTTTTGAAGCATAATTGACATAACAGAAACCACTGAACGTATTTAATGTATATAACTTGGTGGGTTTGGAGAAAGGAATATACCCGTGAAACCACTACAAACCAAGGGAATAAAAATCTTGGATAAAAATAAAAAATAAAAAAATAAATAATAAAAACAAGAAAATAAACATTTATTTCCTAAAATAAAAAGTTTCTGCCTGACCCCCCTCCCGCATTTTTGGTGGTAAGAACACCCAATGTCATGTCAGCTGTGGGCTTGTCATATACGGCCTTTATTATGTTGAGGTGGATTATAATTTTAGAGGTTTAATAAACAACCCAGAAAAAAGGTGGGTAGCAAAGAAAATGTTTTGTTCCACATGGAGATTGTACCAAATAACAACCAAAATGTTTGGTTCGACGTGAAGATTTTACGAGATTGTCAAAGAGTTCAAAACAATAAAATAGTGTCTTAAGTCCTGATCCCAAAAAACAAAACAGATTACTGTGTAAGTTATTTAGAGAGCAAGACAAGGCCTCGTAGGCACTAGAATCTTTTTGTTGTCCTTGCTAGATTTGTCCTTGCATTAAAATCCATGCTTCTCGGGGTTCCTGGGTGGCTCAGTTAGTTAAGTATCTACCTTTGAGATGAACCATGAGAGACTATGGACTCTGAGAAACAAACAGGGTTTTGGGGGGGGGATTGGTTAGCCCTGTGATGAGTATTAAGGAGGGCACGTACTGCGTGGAGCACTGGGTGTTATACAAAAACAATGGATTGTGGATCACCACATCAAAAACCAATGATGTATTGTATGGTGACTAACATAACATAATAAAATTAAAAAGAAAAAAAAAAAGTATCTGCCTTTGGTTAGGTTGTGATCCCGGGGTCTTAGGATCAAGCCCCAGGTCCCTTGGGCTCACTATTCAGCGGGGAGCCTGCTTCTCCCTCTGCCCCTCCCCCTGCTTGTGCTCGCTCGCTCGCTCTCAAATAAATAAAATCTTAAAAAAAAAATTAAATTCCATCTTTCTTCCCTCAATCCCGATCACCTTCCCTTATCTCCTTATAAATGGATAAACTAAGCTAGTGGTTCTCAACTTTGGCTGTAAATTAGATTACTTGGGAACTTTAAAAATCCTGAGTCCCAGGCCACCCCCCAGACCAATGAAATCTGTGCCTCCAGAGTAGGGTCAGGTATGGGTAGTTTCTAAAGCTCCGCAGGGACAGACGTGCAGCCAGCATTGAAAACAGCTGCTCCAAACAACTATGCAGAACTTCTTCGCTGTCCTTTCTCACAAGAATAGCATAAACTATTGCACATATCAAAGCTCTGTGGCTTTACCTGTGAAATTCTTACTCTCTGCTGGCAAGACAGTTTGTTAGCTAAACACCTATTCATCCAGTTCTCCTCCTGACACTTTGTAGGAGAGAGGCCAGGAGGGGCACCTGGGTGGCTCAGTCGGTTAAGTGTCTGCCTTCTGCTCAGGTCATGATCTCCAGGTCCTGGGATTGAGCCCCATTTCAGGCTCCAGCCCCATGTCGGGCTCCAGCGCCATGTCGGGCTCCAGCGCCATGTCGGACTCCCTGCTTGGCTAGGAGTCCGCTGCTCTCTCTTCTCGTCCCTCCCACTTCTCCCCCACCCCCAGCTTGTGCTCCTTCTCTCAAATAAATAAATAAAATCTTAAAAAAAAAAAAAAAAGAGGAGAGGCCAAGATTCTCCCCATGATCACTATCACCTTAATTGTAATCTGAGAAACAGCTGCTTACGGACTCCCAGGGAGGTAACAGCTCAGGCTCACAGTGTTCCTTGGCATTGAGTAACTCACACAAGGTCACAGAGGGCAAGTGTGATTCTGGGGAAGTGAGCAAAGTGAGGGGGGACTACTAGGCACTAAGGAATCCAAATCTAGTAAATCAAGTGGGAAAATAAGCCAGAACCACCAGATCCCTCCTGGTGGTCTTACCAGAACATACTTGCTTCTCCCTTTACAAACCCCTCTCGGGGAAGCCAAGCATCTGCAACCAAAGGCAAACCTGTAGCATCTGCTGCAATGAGTTAGTTCGGAATATTTATTTATTTATTTATTTATTTTATTTATTTTTTTTAGTTCAGAAAATTTAAATGAATATTGGAAATGTTAAACATTAAGCCCACCAGACCATGCTGTGTATCCTTTGGGATTCATTGGTGCTGAAAATGACATGACTAAAATAAGGGGGGAAACTCCATTATGTTACATGTGAGGTCATCAGGGACCTGGCTCTGCCTTCTCCCTGGTTTCACCAGTCACTTCGATCAGTCACTCATTCACTCATTTATCTCCGTTATCACATATCTACCAAGTGCCCACTGTGCCTAATGCTACTGGACTAGATGCTGGTGATCCAGTAGAGTGAAGGCAATGCGTTCTTGGCTCTCCAAAGCTTACCACCCACTCAGAGAGGTGAACAAGGTAAGGGCAATTACTTTCCACACCAGGAAAGGTGTATAAGAAACAAACTTTCTTTCTTTCTTCCTTTCTTTCTTTCTTTTCTTTTCTTTTCTTTCTTTCTTTCTTTCTGTCTTTTTTTAAAGATTTTAATATTTGACAGAGAGAGACACAGTGAGAGAGGGAACACAAGCAGGGGAGTGGGAGAGGGAGAAGCAGGCTTCTGCTGAGCAGGGAGCCCGATGCGGGGCTTGATCCCAGGACCCCAGGATCATGACCTGAGCTGAAGGCAGACGCCTAACGACTGAGCCACCCAGGCACCCCGAAACAAACCATTTCTCCATTCAGAGTCACCCAGGCCCAGTCAGCGGCCCGTGGCCCACTGTGCACTCTGCGCATGTTCGTGAGATGGGCGCAGGTGCCGGGGCTGACTAGGAACACCTCTGCTGTGGTGGCCGCCGGCCCCGGACCTACAGCCCTTGTCCAGGGGACTGGTGTTTAACTAGTTGGAATGCCTTCTCTTCCCCTGTAGCAAAGCCTCTGGGACACTGATTAGTAACCAGAATGTGTTTGGTGAACAGAAATGCAGGAGAAAAAGGGAGCTTGTGGGCGCCTAGAGGCCAGCTGGGTGAACCAGGTCTGCTGGGGGCACCAAATACCCAGGCAGCCGAGTCCCAGTGCTCTCACTCTGCTCCTTTCCTGGAATTCACTCAGGTTCTTGTCTTCCCATTATGACTGCAACTCTGTTGCAGTTCACCAGAACACAGTTTATTCTACGGTGGCTACATTTTAATCTCTGTGATGGATTTGAAATACAGCCTGGTTGCCACCGAGGCTTAGAGTACCCACCAAGTATTGTTTTTATGTTTTGTGTCATCTCTTAGGTGGGTTTCTTTTCTGCCTGTGATACTCTCTCCCAAGATAGGTTGATGCTTACTAGTTTCTTTTTTTTTTTTAAAGATTTTATTTATTTGATAGAGAATGAGAGACAGAGAGCACGAGAGGGAAGAGGGCAGAGGGAGAAGCAGATCCCCTGCCGAGCAGGGAGCCCAATGCGGGACTCGATCCCGGGACTCCAGGATCATGACCTGAGCCGAAGGCAGTCACTTAACCAACTGAGCCACCCAGGCGCCCGATGCTTACTAGTTTCAAGGGGTGGTGTTTTTGACCTTGTACCAAATTCTGGGGCTTTCCTGATCACAGGGGTGGGGGGGGGGGGCAGGTGTTCTTTCCAGGTGAAAACAACTAAGCTTCAAAGGGCTTGTGGCTGATAGGAACTTCCCATCTGAAGTTATAAGCCCTGTGCTTGAATCAGCACGTATTTTGTCTGAATTACAATCAAATGCTTTTTCTCTTCTGCCCCAGTGAGTTTAATTTTTTTTTTTTCTCCACTGTTTCTTTCGTAGGGGTTCAGCTGTTGCAAAAATAATTGGTAATAATGTCAAGAAACTTAAGAAGTTTGCCTCCACAGTTAAGATGTGGGTCTTTGAAGAAACGGTTAATGGGAGAAAACTGACAGACATCATAAATAATGACCATGAAAATGTAAAATATCTCCCTGGACACAAGCTGCCAGAAAATGTGGTAAGACTTTGGGACAGGAAGTACTTTTGGTTAATTCTGAAAGTAACACTTGGCTGAGTTAGCACTTGGGGCTTGGGGAAATGGAAAAGCTACCTCCCTCCTCATTTTCCCCTTTCTACTACCAACTAATTTGCTTGGTCAGTTTTGGTTTTCCTGATTCTGAAGATGGGCTTTGTGTTAGTTTGCTAGGGCTGCCATAACAAAGTACAATAGAACAGATGGCTTAGACAACAGAGATGTATTTTCTCACAGTTCTGGAAGCTTCAAGTCCCAGATAAGGGTGTTGGCAAGTTTGCTTTCTTCTGAGGCTCTCTCTTTGACTTGTAGGTGGTCGTCTTCTTCCTGTGTCTTCATACTGTCTTCGTTCTGTGTGTCCGTGTCCTAATCTATTCTTCTTCTTCTTCCTTTTTTTTTTTTTTGCTATAGATTTATTCATTTGAGAGAGCGTGCACGCAGGAGCTGGGGGGGGGAGGGGCAGAGGGAGAGGGAGAAGCAGGCTCCCAGCTGAGCAGGGAGTCCCATGCGGGGTTTGATCCCAGGACCCGGAAATCATGACCTGAGCTGAATGCAGATGCTTAACTGACTGAGCCACCCAGGTGCCCCGATCTCCTCTCATAAGGATACGAGTCATGTTGAATTAGGGCCCACCCTAATGTCCTCATTTTAATGTAATAACCTCTGTAAAGACCCTGTCTCCAAATACAGTATTCCAAGGTACTAGGGTTAGGATATCAACTTATGGGGCGCCTGGGTGGCTCAGTCGGTTAAGCGTCTGCATTTGGCTCAGGTCATGATCCCAGGGTCCTGGGATCAAGCCCCGCATCGGGCCCCCTGCTCCGCGGGAAGCCTGCTTCTCCCTCTCCCACTCCCCCTGCTTGTGTTCCCTCTCTTGCTGTGTCTCTGTCTGTCAAATAAATAAATACAATCTTAAAAAAAAAAAAAGGATATCAACTTGTGAAACTGGGGTAGGGGGCATGGCACACAATTCAGCCCACAGCAGGCTACTTTCTTGGCATTCAAGGTGCTGGTCCCATCAGAGCTGGAACTCACAGCCTTGCCTTCGGCTGCTTGTGACCCCCAGTCCTGATATTCTCTTTCTACACACGAGAACAGCTAATGTACTAGTCTGTAATTAAAATCAGGGTTAAGGCCTAAATTACAGAAGGAGACTGAAGAAAATAGAAGCTTGTAAGACTGACAGTTTAAAATTTAAGCTTATTAGGTCTGAGAGGGAAAAATACAGGTAATTGCTTGGCCTCATTCCAGTGACTTGCCAGAGGTGGGAGGGAGAAATGAGCAAGAAGAATAAAAAGAGTGTACTATGCTGCTTGTGTGAGTGGAATTTGAACTTCTGTTGCCAGATTCACCCCTTGGTGGCTTTCTGTAGTAAGTCTGTTTGAAGACCGGACCACTGTGGTCTGATTCCCTGCCTGATTCCTTGGTTAACCGGACAAACTCATCTTCTTTGTTTATGAAATATTCATCTCTGCATATATTCACTCATCAATCTTTATGAGCATGTACAGTGCATGCAAAGCACAGTGTTCGTTGCTGGAGACAAGAAGAGGGGTAAAATGACGTTTCTTCCTTCAAGGAGTCCAGCAGGGGAGACGGATTTGGAAACTGATAAATGCCAGGAAGTCCGGATTTGCAAACACCTTGCTCGCTGGAGATTGTTGTTTGGCTTTTGGTTACAGGGTTCATTAGTGTCAAGCACTGTGCTGAGTAGCTCACATATCTTGTCTCATGCAATGCTCTCAATAACCGTCTTAGGTTGATACTGCTAGTTTTCCTATTACGAGGATGATTCTGATTTTGTAGGGAAGGATACCAAGGCCCAGAAAAGTTAATCAACTTGCCTGGGGTCCCATAGCTAGAGGCTGGGGTTTGAATTTGATTCCTAGCGAGCTCATCCCGTTGAATCCCTTGTCATCTGGACAAATGATCACGTTCTCTGTGTCACTGCACTGGGGATCAGACAGCATTTCTGCAGTCATTCTCGGCATTGTTGGTGGGGAGAGAAAGGATCCCTATGGTTCTGAGCTTACAAGTTAAGTTGTCCAAATATCCGAGGGGAAGAACAAAGGGAGCGGCTATTCCCACTGCAGTGGGAGGCTTCTGAGGTCATCTCTGACCCCTGCTTGGAGTAGGAAATTCGTGCGTTTCAACTTCATTCTTTTTTTTTTTTTTTTTAAAGATTTTATTTATTTATTTGACAGAGAGAGCAAGAGAGCACAAGCAGGGGGAGCAGTAGAGGGAGAGGGAGAAGCAGGCTCCCTGCCAAGCAGGGAGCCTCATGTGGGGCTCGATCCCAGGACCCTGGGATCGTGAGCTGAGCCGAAGGCAGACGCTTAACGACTGAGCCACCCAGGCGCCCCTCAACTTCTCATTCTTGTTGGACTCAATGCTTTGTTAAATACGTTCCTTCCACTCTGCTTTGTGCCAGTCCCTTATGTACCTACCTGTTCAGCCCCACTTGCCCCGAGTGTGTGAACCTGACTTTCTGGTTTTTGGTCTTCCATGGTTCCTGGCGCAGTACTCAGTTGGGGGGGGGACCTGCCAGCTGGTTCTGTGAAGCTGAAGCTTGTGACGGGAGCAGGGGAGCCAGGAGGGAAGGAGGCAGGGAAAGAATTGACATAGAGGAGCCAACAGCCATTGCCACTCGGAGCCCAGTGCCCACACTGATTCCACCACCTGCCCCATGTCCCCGGGTGTGGACAGAGGGAGGAGAAAAAGGAGGAGCTGTCCACTCCCAGGACCCTGTTGATGTCTGAAGCCTTGTAGGTTCACAAAAGTGAACGTATCCATTCTCTGGAATGGACCTTTGCGTGGTTTCCAGCTGTTTGTTGTCATGGACCGTGTTCCCAGGGGGTAGAATCGCAGGGTCACTGGGAACGCACGGCCATAATGTCACCATGTCACACCACTCGTTTCCAGAGCGGCTGTATCAGTCTACACTCCCCCAGCACGTCTGAGGGTTCACGTTGTTCCACATGCTTACCCGTGCTTGGCAGAGGATACCTGGGGTGCTAGAAAGTTTTATTTCTTAAGCTGGTGGAAGGTACACAGGTGGTTTTTTTCTCTATACTTGTTACAGTTTTGAACTGCACTCAGAAAATGTTGCATAATAAAGCCGATGGTGAAGTGTAGTGGTGGAGGGACTCCCTGGGAGTCAGGGCTTGGTGCTCACTGAGTGAGCATGGTCAGACGGATGGCTATTCTTAGTGCTTTATTACCCTTAGGCGTTTTGTGAGAAGTAAATGAGGTGATCCATATATATATTTAGTTTCCTGTGAAGTATTTTTTTTTTTAAGAGCTGGGGATTTGTTTTTGTTATTGTTTTTTTCTTTAGTTTTATATGTTTATTTCAGTTTTTTAGCTATCTCATTTGGTCCTTTAAAAAATCAACTAGTGTTACAAGAATGTCAACTCTCACCACTTTTATTCCACACAGTACTGGATGTTCTAGCCAAGGCAATTAGGAAAGAAAAAGAAATAAAAGACATCAAAATCAGAAAGGAAGAAGTAAAATTGTCTATTTGTACAAGATATGATATTATATATTGAAAACCCTAAATACTCTACAAAAAACTGCCAAAACTAATAAAAAAATTTAGTAAACTTTCAGGATATAAAATCAATATGCAAAAATCTGTTAGTGGGAACGTCAATTTTTACAACCACTGTGGAAAATAGTATGGCATTCTTCAAAAAATTAAAAATATAAATATCATATGATCCAGTAATTCCACTACTGGGTATTTACTCAAAGAAAATGAAAATACTAATTAAAAAAGATATATGCAAAAAAAAAAAAAATCAACTAGTGTTAGATAAGACCCTTAATCGTCATGAGAGACATGTTGCATTTCCATCCACATAGGATTGCTATTTGTGATGGCTGTCAGTTGGTGTGCTGATGTGAGACTGTGAGTCTTTCTTGCTCGGGGCCCCCACGCTGTTTCCCACTGACCTTCTTCATGCCCATCCTCATCAGGTGACTCCCTCCCCCTTCCCCCAACCTCTTGTAACAGTGATATCACCATGTCATCACCTGTTGACTAAAAGCCGGGACAATCTGGGTTTGCAGTTTTCTCTGAAACCTGAGCGGAAAGAACGCTTCCCTTTTCTTGCCACTGTTGGATGTAAATCATTGATCCTGTTTTGTAGCTGTCTGTCTAGGGTCTCAACCAGGTAGAGCGCTCCTGTGCCTTCTCGCTGCAGGTTTAACCAGCCTCAGCGTGGCGCCAGGATTTACGATCACAGCATCTTCTGTGAAATACCATTGTCATTGTTTCTCATCTTGCTTTCTAAACCTTACCAACTCTTTTTAAAACAACTTGACTGAGGTCCGATTCACAGATCATACAATTCACCCGTTCAAGTGTACAAGTCAGTGGTTTTGAGTATATTCAGAGTTGTGCAAACATTACCACCATCAATTTTAAAATATTTTCATCACGCCAAAAAGAAACCCCACACCATGTAGGAGTCACTTCCTATTTCCTCCTATCCCCTGCCCCAGCCCTAAGCAACTGCTAATCTTTCTGTCTCTATAGACTTGCCTATTCCAGACATTTCATATAAATGGCACCATACAATATATAGTTTTCTGTGTCTGGCTTCTTTGATTTCGCATCGTGTTTCAAGGTTTATCTGTGTTGTAGCATGTGTCGGTACTCCATTCCTTTTTATGGCTGAACAAGATTCTATTTTATGGATGTACCATATTGTTATTTATCCACTTGTCTGTTGATGGACATTTGGGTGGTTTGCACTTTTCAGCTCTTGTGAATAATACAGCTATGAACACTTGTATACAGTGTTCTGTGTGAATGTGTTTTCAGTTCTTTTGAGTGGGTACCTAGGAGTGCAATTGCTGGATCATATGGTAACGTTGAACTCTTTGAGGAACTGCTGGGCTGTTTTCCAAAGTCACTGCACCGTTGTACACTCCCACCAGCAGTGTGTAGGGGTTCCAGATGCTCCACATCCTTACA